TTCTTTGAAGGTCCTGATGGAAAGACCCACATAGAGAAACTTACCCAAATTAATGCGTTTAAAGCCAAGATGGCGGGAGTGATCAGTAGATCTGCGTATTTAGAGGCCAAGACGCCAGCGGATGGCGAAGAAAAAGGTAACAGTAAGAGAAGGTTATCAGTCTATTTTGGCATTTCAGCCTCTTCCTCTCGTATTTGACAGTCTTTTCCCCCTTTTCTTTACATCGGAACACCTCAATATAAAGTATGCAAACTTTGGTTACCACTAAAAAATACTCTCGTAATCAGAGAATGTTTCTTTTATCAAAGGGACATCCTATCGGGGGACTCTTTTTCTAGTCACGAGGTTGTTCCCTGAATAGAGATCTTATTGTGAATTGTCCAAAGTTCTACCGAAAGATTCATGAGGATAAATGCTGGATTCAATTTATTCCAATCTCGAGGTTGTTTCCTAAATAGAGATCTTACTTTGATTTGTCTAGACGTCTCGTTCATGAGAGATTCATGAGGACAAATGCTGGGTCATGTTTATAAATGATTTTTTCAACAATTCTAAATGAGTATTCCCTTATCTGAACTAACAGCTGGCTGTTCTGTGTCAGGTTTAGACGATCTCGTGTGTGTGATTGGCATGGTGAACGTCAAAGTACTGGGTCCAGTGAAAAACGGCGAGCGAATCTTTGCTTCATTGGAACACTCAGGAGTGGCCATACCTCAGAGTCGCTTGAACGGTCGCGTGGCCAGTGATGCCTTTCTGCTCGGCCAAACACTAGAAAGACGGGACGCCAAAGAACACGAAGTTAAATTAGTACAGTCGTTCGTTTCAGTTCTCCTGAGTATTACATCCAGTCATATGGCCGAAGTTAAAAGCGACGACTTGCGGAAGCACGTCAGAGAGGATGTCAAAATAGAAGTGAATAAGATCAAGAAAAAATGTATTTCAGGTATTTATGTCGCCTTTCTTTAAAGTTGTTTTGGTAATTTGATGTTTTTAATCACACACGAGGTCTTCCAGTATGTTATTTGGGACGAGCGTGAAGTGTACCTCCTCTCGTGACTTAACATTCAAGTACCTCCTCTGGCACGTGACACGCCCTTCACGCTCCTCATCATGTACGTGACTCGACGTTCGCGTTCGCGCAGAGCGTCCTCTCGCCGGGGAAGCTAAAAGATTTGCGCCTGTTCGCTGGGTTAGGTAAATGTGGGACTTAATTAAAGGGGAACATAATCTATTCAAAATTACTATCGCAGCTATATTATCATTATAAGAGCAAAGAATCCGAAGTCAAATTTTCTGTAGTAATCACCTTTTTCTGTTTCAGTCTTTAATACATACTTGTACGTTTTCATAGGGGTTGGCCGCTGGTTGTTCGCAGGCTTCATTCTAGCTGTGTTATTAGGAATTTTGTTGTACCAGTTGTTCGTCCCAGGCTCCGCCCTTCGTTATTACAGGTGTCGCCAGGGCTCCATCGAAGATAGTGAACTGTGGTTCACATTTACTACTACAGACTTTCAGGTATTGCCTCCCCTTCTTTACTTTTAAAATACAGAGCTAACTGTACTCAGTTTGGTTTGGAATTGATCCGCATTATAAAACTACAGTTACGCAAAAACAAACCACGAAAAAATACGGGGTTTCTCGACGGAATTTGCCTTCTTAATAAAATATTTTCTATGGCTAAGAGATAGCACCGAGGATTTGATCGATGGATTAACAAAAATCGTCGTTTTTTTCTTTGTTTGACTTAAAACGTGTTTTTTTTTCTGTCTCCCAAACTACCTGGAGAAGCTTTTGTTAAAAGAAAAAAAAATTCCTTTGAAGTTGCGTCTCACGTGTGATCCTATGCCGTTAAACGTTTTTTCTTCCACGTAAGATTCATTGATTGTGTCTCCTTTTACTTTAAACAGATTCCTCGTGTGCATTGTATTGAGTTCGATTTCGACAAGTTGAAGAAAAAACTGGGTTTGGATATTGGCAGAATAAACTACACAGGTAAAGAAAGGATCATTAAGGATATCGACCTCTACACGATACGTCTTTTGTTAACAAAATTACTATAGAAATTTTTTTCTAGCCCTGGCTAAATTTTGACTTTTCCGCGTGATATTTCTATTCGCGACATGGGGTGATCCTATGACTCTAGGTACGCATTGTAGAGGAACAAGCGGTTGATCACACAAGCCCCTTACGAAAAGTGTGCCACTAGATTACACAATGGTGCACTGCTATATGATTTACTGTGTAAACTAAGGGAAGAGTCATTATTTATCATCACCTAAGGTGGGATGAGAGAGGGGGGGAGGGGGACTCCGGAGCCTTTGATTCTTATGATTTTAAGGGGTAACGGAGGGGGAACGGTCGTCGCTAACAGATCATTAACCCTTTACAACCTAACATCAGTATGCATATTCTCCATACTGATCATCTCCTCTATTCTTATAACTTTCATGTTTGATTCAGGGATGGTATTGTTGGGAGAAATTAGATGCTAGTCACTCTTAGAGGCTAAGGAGTCAAAGGAGGACTATATAAAACTGACGGTCAATAGGGAGGGATCCTTAGAATACTATAGAGCCTTATGCATTACTGTGACACGACCAAAATTATTGTCCCTCCCCACTCCACAGGCGATAAATAATAACCAGTTTCATAAATTTTAAGTAAACCAAGGAAAGTGAAGTAAATTATATGGAAAATTACTGTGATAAATCTCGCAACGGAACCAGCTTGGTTAAGGTCGGAGTAGCTTGACACGGATTTTAAATGACTAACCGAAAACCTTTGGAGTTAAGTTATTAGACGCACATGTACTCAATAATCATGCATTACTTCTTTAATGAGCTCGTTTTCTCTCTTTTTCAGACGCACATTATTATCTGAATCTGGACAGATGTGCGTATGGCGGAATCAGACATGTTCGGTCGCATTTGGACAACAAAGAAATGGTCCGGGGTGCAGAAGTAGTAGCAGTGGATCACAACTGTACCACTGTATATTATCACTCGGAGAGATGGGTCCCGTATGAATCGGGCAGGGATATCGTGTGTTCTGCACATCCCAAGTAACTGGCACTGGGGGCAGGAAACTCCAGGTGTAGGACTAACAGGAATCTCCAGGTGTACATTATCCTAGAGAATATTTTCTACTAGATGGGAGTTTGGGCTTAAACGGAAGTTAAATTCACTCGGATGGGGGCTGAATTCCGCTATAGATGTGGAGGTCAAGAAGACTCCCGGTGTTTGCAAAAGAGGCTTTGTTAGAAAAACAAATATATTTATACAAATAAAAGAACAGAACAACATAGACCGGAAAGATTTTCTTGACGATCCTTCAGCTCAATAATTTAAGTGTTAGATAGCATTTGCGGAGACGAGAGAACCGCATAGTACAAACTATATGGCTGGTCCATGTATGCTTGTTGAAGACTTTATATTTGATTTTGCCCAGATGCTCAGTTTTTTCTTTACAGTTAGATGGTCTCAGATAGTCTTTTTGTAATGTTAATTTAGTTAGACAATCTTTTACTATTAATATTACTATCATTGTTATGATTGCCATCATTATCAAATTAATATTACATTAAGGAAGATGAAGTAAACTTTTCCCCTGAATTTTTCAATTGTGCATCACCTGTAAAGATATTTGATTCTGAGTACCAAATGTTATAAAGACCTACATCGTAGAAACCTCTTTAAATATGTCTTGGCATCTTAAAAACGAAAATCTCATAAGGAGAACGATATACAGAGCAAGACAAAAAAAAACATTGTAAGGCCAACCTGAGGTATTGGAAGGCCCGTTGTAACACTGCATAGTACGTATTTCGATTAAAAACGGAAAATACCATTAGGAGTTGATGAGAACTTACAAAAAAACATTTGAAACGCTTTTCGTGTAGGAAACAGAACTGACAATTGACGAGTATTTTAGTTTTATATGTGATTGGCTGAGAGTAGTAAGAGTTTCCTAGATCATTCACAGAGCGAGACTTGATTGAAAATTGCTCTCTTTGTAATGTCCGTTGCCGGGCATTTTATCCATACTTCATATACAACTTATTAGGTTCGTAGATAGGGCTCTAGCTGGAGAAGGGCTGCAAAAAATATATCTACAGATGTTTTTTTACAACCATATTAAAGTACGTTTTCCTCGTTGTAATTTAGTAATCTGGGTGACCGCATGATAACACAATCGCCGGCTTATTCGAAATTCCTTTTTTTCTGCCAAAGGGAAAGGCTGGTCCTTCATGAATTTTATTGTAAATGTTTTTTGGAGATATTCGACCATAATGTAAAGAGTTATTCCCATGATTAATATTCATCATCTTGTTTGAAGACAAGACAATCATCGTCGTCGTCGATCGAATAATATTGTATCCTACTTACCTCGTCGTTGAGTTTGTTAAAAATATATATTGCTATTTGATTTTCACTTGACATCTTGGTTTATTAGGGCTTTTGTTATTCTGAATAACAAAAGTATTTTCATGATTGTCACTTCGTCACATTTGTGAACTTCAAGGCGGACCCTGGTTGTTCTAAGGTGGATACCAGGTTCCTCTTGAATCAAGAGCATAAAAAAAGGTGACCCCATTTAAAATCCTCTGCTCCTATCCTCAGGTGGTAAATAAAGACTGGTTCCTTGTAGAATGTCTGACTGCTGCCATTTTGCGTTTCTCCTGATTTTAAGGAAGGGCTCAGGTGGAGATAAGAATGGAATGACGTAGACTGTGTCACTCCTGACCACACCTTTTCCAGGACACTGTTCAGCGTTACGAACATCAGACAGGACGATTTCCCGCCATTACCATCCATTACAAATTGAGCATAATTAATAGATTTCTATCTTTAAAACATATGAAAAATGATTTTCGTTTGAAAGTACAAAACACTAAATCTTAACCTGCTTGGCAGAAACTGAAAAAGTAAAGTAAACGCCGAATCACATTGACAGTTTTAAAAGGACTCATCAGTGTAGCAGTCAAGTGAGGCGTCAATCGCTTAAAGTAGAAATAAAAATTTTTAATTCACTGGTTAACAGGCATCGATTATTTGAAATATCATTAAGGACCACTCACTCGTCATCGCCTGGGGTGGGGGTCTGGAGGATTCTGGGGGATCACATGCTTCCCAGGAGGATCAGAGGGGTTCAGTCGTCTGTAACAGAGTTAAAAGGAAGGACCACAGAAAATTGACTACCAATGAGAACGGATCACTAGATTACTACAAAATCCTATTGGGGAATCATGTAATTTTAATTCAGTGAAACAACCAAAATCCTCCAACTCCAGCCCTAGAAGATAACTGATTACTAGTCCATTATATCGATAGTTAAGGACTCATCGATGTGGTGGTCAAGTAAGGTGTCATTCGTTCTAAGTATGAAAATAAATTTTTATTGTACTTCAGTATCTTAGTAATCACCACGTCAATACAGCTTTAAATAACTACCCTAATACAGCTTTAAATAACTACCCTTGCGACTTAAAACTTCTTTCCAGATCGTTTTGGGAACAAGAGCACATTAAATGTTACACAGCCAAATAAACGTCTGTTTTTGAATCTTTTTTTTTACATCATTACATCGCTAGGTAACAAACCTCAAAATTTACTGCTTCTTACCAAAATACTCGCCTTACTTATCGAAGTAACTTTCAATTAGAGAAATCTAAGAAAGAAAATGGAAATGCAATTGGGTATAATAACAACCTGGTTGTGCTTAGAGCCAATCTTTTTAACTGCTATCGGTCTAATGACCACAGTTAACGTTAAACTTGAAATCAAACTTCAATTTATTGCCAAATTTAAAATGAAAAAAGGAAGTGCAGCACGGTTTAGACGCAAGGTGGCACACGCTGAATGTGTTCTGCCGAAGTGTACGGTTGCCATTTGTCCTTGTTTACGAAATAAACTGCAGAGCAATTGGAATTGATTGCAAAAACCGTAGGTCCGCGTATCGGTGGCTTGTGATCCAAAACGATCCGTTCGCCATAGGCACACCGATCCAAGTTTAGGTAATAACGGTAGCCTTATGGGAAATAAAAGGAGAAATAAAATTAACGCTCCAGTCAAAATTCATCAATGAACATTACTTCACAGAAAGAAAAATATTC